GAAAAATCAGAAGTGAGAATGACCTTAAAATTAAATTTAAGTATTTATTTTGCACCAACACATTTTCTGCCTTAGTTCTCTGTAACTTTTCAATGAACTGGTGGAGGTGATGTGTACCAGAATCCCCTTTCCCCCCACCAGGCTCCAGAATTTTTAAATGTTTTTTCCCTCTCTTCTCCTCTCCATTATCCTTTATATTTCTCTTCTTGGCTCATACCATAGCAAAATATAAGATCCCACCAGAGTCATGTAACAACAGATTCATAAAGGTATAGAACTTTAGTGGTGGTAAGAAATTTCCAAATAATCTAGTGCAATTCTCACTTTTATAGATGAGGAAAACCAGAAATTAATCAAAATTACATGACTTAGCAGTCATACCTTGAACTAGTTAAAGAATCAATATAGAGAAAGAAAGAAAGAAAGAAAGAGAAAGAAAGAAAGAAAGAAAGAAAGAAAGGAAAGAAAGAAAGAAAGAAAGAAAGAAAGAAAGAAAGAAAGAAAGAAAGAAAGAAAGAACCAATATAGGAATCAGCACCTTCTATCTTCCAGCTAGGTCCTTTCTTTTCACCTCATTTCCTTTTTGTTCCCTGGGGCTTATAAATAGAATAGGAGATATAGGAAACATTGAGGCTTGACTGTTGTTGTTCTTTCAAGTAATTTCTAAAATTAAAATTCGCATATTTTGTTATATATGTGACTGTGTATATCTATCTATAGCTTAGTAACTTAATACCGTGAAGTTACACTAACGTAAGAAGCGTTCATCAACCAAATAATGAAACAGTTTCTGTTAATAATGAAAATCTAGTAAGCATGTCAGAATTTGATTATGATTAGGTGCTGACATAAAACAAGAGAGCAGACTGAAGTGTACTTTAGAGGACACTGGCTTTTGCATTTGCCCCAGAAGACAGTCCACAAGAGTGCTTTTTTCAGATGATTGCTATAAGGTGATACAGACCTCTTCCCTGCAGATCATTAATTCTACTCGCTCTGCTTTTGGTCGAGTAGATATGTATTGAACCCTGTAGAAATCTTGCCTTATCATTAAAAAAACTAGCCTCTTGTTAAGCATAAAAGGAAATGAGCATATTTTTCACTTTTTAAAATAATTCATGTGTGATTACAGAGGCAGTAAAAAAGACTATTGACTATTACATATTAATACACACAGTTTGTTTTTAACATTTCTGAAAAAGGAAGGGGAATACAGAATCTCAGTGTAAGTGTAACTTAGTTGTATATATTTGCTGAAGGTCAGTTACCTAGCTTTATAAGATCAATGATCTGATCCTGGACAGTATATTGTGCTTGCCATAACAGAAAAATACAATATTATGAAGGCATTTCTAAGTATTCATTTTCCCAAAGGTGTATGAGGTTTTATGAATCTCAAGCTCTCCTTCTGAACTTGTTTCATTTCTTAGTTCTGATATTATTAATTTTAATTATGAGAGCACAGGAAACATTGCATAGATTTTGCTTTCATAATAAATCCTCCTTTAAAAAATACTCTTAAAAAACTATCCACTTAGCTGTAAAAGGAAAGATAAAAATAAAGCCAAATAAATAAGTTATTACAATTCTAAATTTATTTAACTTCCAGATCTTCTTGGAAAGAGGTCAGGTAGTAGAAGTTGTACAAACCTTGGTAATTTTTAAAGCTTACAGAAAATAATATGCATACTTTATTTTCTGTAATCCCACAATGGAGCCAGAAGCAGGGCTCACAAATATCATGAACTCATTAACAAATTTAACAATATGTATTTATTTGGTCTGCTGATGAAACACAGCAGTCAAACCTGTCTGCTAGGCGGCTTCAAAAACTGAATTAACGTTTGCATGGCATTAATAAGTTACTGTTTCAGTACAACCTGGTGGTAATTGATTTCCTATGTTTTGGTTTTGCTTTATAAAAAAACCAATAAAACAAAACACAAAATGATATAGTACCATGGGATCCATAGTTATATTTTCTTGCTTTAGTTTTTCTTAACTCCAGGTTGTCATTAGGAAAGATTCCATAATTTCTTTAAATTAGAAATGAAGTAATGTATGCTTCATATGTATTTCAAGCAAGTATCATTTTTCATGACTCAGTCTCATGGAACTAACAAATGAATTTAAACACCTTGGAACTTAAATAGGGAATAAGTTAAGGAATTTTATGAATCAAATGGGAGAACTGACATTATTATTATTATTATTATTATTATTATTTTTTGAGTTAGAGTCTCACTGTCGCTCAGACTGGAGTGCCGTGGCTGCTCCTGGCCACCACAGCCTCGATCTGCTGGGCTCTGGCGATCCTTCCGCCTCAGCCTTCTGAAGTAGCTGGAATTACAGGTGCGCGCTACCATGCCCGGCTAATTTTTTTGATTTATTGTAGAGATGAGGTCTCGCTGCCCAGGCGGGTCTCGAACCCGCGGACTCAGGCAATCCACTCACCTCAGCCTCCCAAAGGCGCGGGATTACAGGCGGAGCCACCGAGCCCGGCTGAACTGACATTATTAATTGACTTCTTTATCTAGAATGTTTCTTAGTAATTGTAAAATAATATAAACTTTAAAAAATTACTCTTGTAGTAATAATGATTGAGTACTTAAGTGATAACTAGAATTGTATTTTCTGTCCTTTTGGCTTAATTTCAAAATGGGAGTTCCTTTATCTTTGTTTTAAAAGTTTTGGTTTTTAATATGCTTTCTGGGGGGCTATTCTCCATATTCTTGACATTTTAAAATAGATTAAACAATCTGTTTATATTTGCTAGATGTTTAGAAAGAAAAGTCACCTTAGGAGCTTACAAGGGAGATCATTGTGTATTTCTGCTTTTAAAAAAATTAGTTATATTCATATGTATCATTAATTATTTTGGAGGACAAGGTACAGTGGAAAGAAAACCAAAACAAAACCATAAGCTTTGGAGTCAGATGCACTTACTCTGTGCATCCATGGAATGAATATCTTATGACTTCTGGCAAGTTATTCGATATCTTTTTGTCTCATTTTCCTCATCTGGGAAACAATACTTATCTATCAGGTTTGTTTTAAGTCTTAAATGAACACATATATTTTAAAGCATGCCTGGCACAAACTATGTGTCAATAAAATTATCTTTTCCTTAAGATGCACTCTGATTCTCACCTAACCTTTCCTAGTGGGACACTCATTTGGGGGAATGGGAATTGACAGAGAAGTAAGGACAGGGCATTTAGCTCAAAGGCTCCCATTATATATCTCTACTTGCAAATCACTGTTTTCTGTTTTGTCTTTTAAATGTATATACTGGTGGTGCCAAAAAATGTATACACATTTTAAGAGATTTTGTTTTACTTTTAGTTCGTTGTAATCAGAAGTGTCTGGACACTGATGGTAACCACTTTGAGAGCCTCTTGTAATTGCAGATGTCAAACGTGACTTGTGTTCATCTTTTGTTATCAGCATATATCGAGTATTATAATTTTAATACAGTTGTTTTCCTTTCTTAAAATGTGTATACTCAAAAAATGTGTATACTCTTTTTGGCACCATCTTTATACTAAAATGGATGCCTAGAAGCATAATACATGTATACATTTTATGTTGAATTTTCAATAACATCTGTAAGCAGTTTTTATAAATTGTTTGGTATTGCTTATCAACAATTATTAGAAAGGGTGAGAGAAAGGAACGCCTTCGAACCTTTAACATTTCTCAGGTTTAGTGGCAAATCTATGAACATACATTTTAAAGCCAAATTACCCATATCTTGGAGTTTAATCTCTGTTAGTTCTTTATTAAAGCAGTGAAGTATCAGTTGTTCCAATGATATAATAAATCAAACAACACTGAAAATTAAATCCCAAGGCAGTGCACCTTTAGTTTGTTCAGTAGATATTAAGACATCCTATGAGCCATCATCATATAATTCCAACAGTTTTTGTACTCAATCTGTTTTTCTAGCAACCTCTTGGGAAGTAGCCCAAGATAATTTATTGGATAGGCGCGTCTACCTTTTACAAGACATTTGGAGCACTTCGTAGTTTGAACCCCCGGAAACATTCTATAACGAGAACAATCAGAAAAACGGAACGAGATAAATAGCTAAGGAGGGAGGCAATCCAGGGCTGTGGCGAAGCCCCGCGGTTCTTCCTCGCCTCTTTGCTGGGAGCCACGAGTTGTTTTGCTATTCGAAGCATCCCCGTTAAGTGCGATTGTTACTGACGAACAACCCCAAAGTATACAATATCTTTTCAAGTAGCAATTCATAGGGACAGTTCTGTATCCTAGCGAATGTAGATGAAACGACACATTACCGTTAGTCAGCCTTTGCAGTTGCTCTCGCCACCACCCACCACTTCCTCCAGCCCCCGGAACGCTTCGGAATCGTCCCTCAACGTAGTCAGAGCAAAAGCCAGCACCATTTCCAGAGCTCCTCTGCATAGTCCAGATCCGGGAATTTTAGGACATGGGGAAGATCGGCCGCCGCCCCCACACCCTCCTAACCCCTTTGCTGTCAGATGCAGCTGGGCGCGAGTTCCCGGGGCTTCCGGAGAGCATAGTCTGCCACATGCCATGCAGCGCAGCGCCCAAGGCGCAAATCGTTGGGCGCCCACTGAAGCCCACCTGGACGCTCGTCGTCCTGTCCTCAGTCTCAAGTTTTCTCTCTTGCTTCCAGGTCCTAAGGCGCGGGCTCACCTGGGCTCCTCCAAAGACGGTAGGGTGAAAGCACCAACTGCCCCACCCAAATGTCAGTTACTGCCTCCTTTCCCTCCCCCCAGCATTCTCCGCGTGAAGATTCGCGGGCACCCGTGGTCATTTAAGGACGCACGTGCACAGTTGGAACTCCACACACTCCTAAACTTCTGGAAATTCACTTCTCTGCGTTTGGCATCACGGTGAGTGTCGAGAACCAGAGATTAAGGGGGAAAATGGGCATAAAGTTATTCCCGGTTCGCCCCTCCTTCCCCCGAAAAGCCGAGTCGCTCGGCAGGCTCGCAGGCTTTCAGCCGCTCCACGTTTGCAGCCCTCAGGAAGTAGGCGGGGGTGGGGTACTGGGGAGAAAGAAGTCGTGGGCGGCTGGGTGCATCCGCCGTCAGTCCCCCGCGGCCGCGTGCAGGTACCGCGCGACGTCGCGATGGCCCCGCTCCTCAGCCAGGTCCACGGGCAGGCGGTCCCAGGCGTCGCGCACGTCCAGCCGCGCCCCGGCCCGGTGCAGCGCCACCAGCGTGTCCAAGAAGCCCTCCCGGGCGGCGTCGTGCACCGGTCGGGTGAGGGTAGCCGGGTCCGCGCAGTTGGGCTCCGCGCCGTGGAGCAGCAGCAGCTCGGCCACGCGGGCGCTGCCCATCATCATGACCTGCCGTGAGGGAGAGCAGAGCGGTCAGGGCCAAGGTGGGGGCAGCGGGATGCGGGGCAGGTAGGATCTGTGCAGAAGCACTTATCTGAGTAACTGCCCGATGCAGAGGTGGTCACACCTCCGATGTCTGGTTTCTTCATCTGCTGATGCAATCTATCCTCCCTCTAGGTTATACTCTTTACTCACCACAAATTAAATTGCATTTTATTCTCCTAACGTGCAGAGACAAGAAAGAGCTGATGGCAAAGTGATTATCGTCATTGTGGACACACACACAACACACACACACACAAATTGATTTTCATTGGATCATGAATCTGTTTTGTTAAATGCCTTATAGGCAGAGTTAAGTTTAAATGTCTTTTAAAGTTTTAAGTTATTTATCTTGCACTCCCTCTCCCCTAATAATTCAGGTCTAAAAAAACGTGCTAGTCTACTGATTTTTTTCTCTTTTAGAAGTTGAGAATAATGCTTTAGGGGAGCAAATAAACAACTGAGTTCTTTTTAAAAAAATTTTAAGCCGGGAAAACATAGTTTATTTGGAAAATAGATTGGAGAGAAAGAGAAAATGGGGATCCACCTCCCCCAGATTGGGGAGGCCAGAGCTTAACAAAAGCAATGTCCTGAAACAACTACGTTTTAAAAAATGTTTATTTAGTTGTCATAGCAAATCTCTGGTGGACAGCTATTGTTTTCATTGTCATATGTGTCTGTATTCAAACGGATTGTAGTGTGATAATTTGGGCCAAAGTTGGATATTTGAAGGAAAATAATAAATTAAGTCACACATAATCTTATAAAATAATGAAAACAAATGACTTGTTTTTAATAAAAGGATCACCATTTTTAATTTAGAGTAATGTATCTAATGTAATGTATAACTAACACCATGTACAGGATTTTATGTTAAATAGTGAATAGCTATATAAAAAGAGCTTGGCTGTTAGCAGTGAAATCAGAATGACGCATCACTTACAAAAAATGTTTTGGAGGAGTAATCCCATAGCTGCCATTTGTGTATGTGTACATTATGAAAACATTTGCTTTCATATTTTAAGTTAGCACTAAAACAATTTCTGATAACTAAATGTCCAAATTGAGTTCTTTGTTCTTGTGGGCTTATGTGCTTTAAAACATATCATGTAATTGAAAAGCAGTATATTTCTATAGTCTAATTTTTCATGTGCTTGTTTCATGAATACTAGAAATGTTCATTTCCTCCCTTAGAACCATGATAACCATAAATGATCATTTCTACTGATGACGTAAAGGATATTTTACATATAGAGAAGGTGGAAAAGTGGTTCTTAGTATTTCAGAAAATGGTGAGTTAAAATTAAAAGATAACTTGTTCTTATAATTATTAATAGAATTCCAAGCCTGTAAGAACTATTTTACGATATTTTTGCTACTTTAAAATAGCCCTATTATGCCATCATTCTAATAATCCAATAGGAATGAAGACTTCTTTTAAAAATCTACACTATTAACAAGATCCCTTAGCTTTTAAGTTTTGGAGGGTGATGATGACGTGAATACTGAACACGGCCATAACTGTCAACAAAGCACAACAGCACGATCTTTTAAGGATGCTAAAGGAATTAAAAATATCAATACTAATTAAGGTGGGATACGTGGTTAAACATCGAATACAGGTATTTTAACAACGAAGAGGCATTATTTATGAAGACCCTTTGCTATTCATTGCTAAAACATAAAGGACCTAACAGTTGCTGCAGCAATGTTTTTCAATCCGAGCAATGAGTGGGGCAATTAAACAATGCAAAACCATAGAAGCATATTTTTCTTTTCCCTCTGACGCCTCACTCGTCAGACGCTGCTCACACAAAAGGAATGAAAAGGACTATGGTTCCGGAATCCTGTCTCGCTCCTACGAATTCAATTCGCCTCTATGAGAAAAGAATACACAAGATTTCCTAGAGCGGCTTAAAAGTGTCAGCCGATTTCCCCCCCTCATGTACTGTGACTTTGTGGAAAACTCCTTAAATCCAATCCAGACGGGGTAACTTCTCATTTACTTATCTTCGTCGTTGGAAGTAGACAGATGAAACAGTCCTCCTCCCTAGCTAATCTTTCCTTCCTCCCTTTCCTCCCTAACTGAATCTGTTCCTTGCATCCCTGATCGTAAGATGGCAGAGCAGATATTGCTCTTTCCCCACCACTAAAAAAGAAAAAAAAAAAAGAGAGAGAGAGAGAGAGAGAAAGGCAGAAGTACTGAGTTTGTCTATCTTTAGGTTTTTCGCTGGAGACAGACAAGACTCGAGAGACGGCTGCGCCAGGCTCGGCCGGCGATCTCGGTGCCAGCCCCGGCCCGCGGAGGCCGCACCCCGAGTGCGTGCGCCCCCTGCCGGCGAGGCCCCGGGGCCCCAGCTACCTGGATAGCTCGTCTCCCGAAGCGGTTGACTCCGTTGGGATCCGCGCCGGCCTCCAGGAGCTGCCGCACCTTCTCCACTTGCCCCCGCGCCGCGGCGTTTGCCAGGCCCGTCTCGCCGCCGCCCCCACGGAGCATGCCCTTGCTCCCCTCGCGCATCCCCAGACGCGGAGAAGGCCAGGGCCATCCACCGTGGGCCGCGAGCTTCGTGACACAGCTCTCGTCCCCCGCCCCGCCCGGGCTCCGACGCCCCCCCGCTCCTCCCCAGGGGCTGCTCAGTTCCGCTTGGGCCCCCTCTCGCCGCCCGTCGGCGGCTGGGGGACCCGGGCAAGGGCCGCGAGGCCGGTGGTCAGCTCCGGGCTTTTCCTGGCGTCCGAGGAACGAGCGCAGAGAGGCTCCGGCCGCGGAGAAAGAAGGACACGACGCGGCGCTCTCGCCGCCCAGCGGCGCTCCGGCAGAGTGAAGAATCAGCTGGGAAACAACTCCGTCTTCAGCGGGGCGGAGGGGCCAGGTTTTCCCGCCCCCTCGGGCTCCGCCCCCCGTCCGTTCGGCGGGCGCGAGCGCTCCCAGCTGGGCTAGTGGGAAGGCCGGGCCCGCCCCGGATTACGTCACCGACGAGGAGGTGGACGGCGAGGGGCGGGGGCGGGAGCGGAGCCCGCCCAGAAAGGCCTGCTGCGCATGCGCCAGACGCCGGCCGCGGTAGGAGCTGGAAACGCCGGCTGCGCTGTGCGTTGTGCGTGCGGTCAAGGCTGAGGTTTTGGAAGTGTTGACCCACTGACCTTGGCTCCTAATCTCCAGCAGGCGGAGCAGAGGACTTCTATTCCTGCAGCCTCGGGCCTGCTGGTTTCACTCTGGAGGCGTTGGTGCGCCCTGCGTGACTGAGAGAAAGGCATTGAAAATAATTCCGTCTCTCTTAAGCTGTCAGAAAGTGTCAGCTCTGCACCTGTCATGCAAGTGACATTTTTTTTTTTTCCTCAGGCGGTACTGGAGCTTCACGTTTCACATCTCGTATCAACCTTAGCAGTTTTCTTTTGGGTGTGTTTTCCTATTTGAACTAGCCATAAAAATAGAGAAAAATCCCGAGAATCTTGTTTTGCATGTGCTATTTAATTCTTCCTAGTTTGAATTTTGAATTGAATTTTGGGTACAATGAAAAAAAATTGAGAGTTACAACCTGGTACACATAAAACCAAAATATATTATACTTTAAGAATCTGAGATCCCAGTCTCATGATATGTGTACACTCCTACCTCGTTAAACCCACCTTGGCAACTATTTGATTTTTATTTATCATGAGTAATAAAAGAGGTTCATGCAGTAATAATGAAACATATAAAACAAGGGAGTGGTGCTGGGCCTGTCATTAAACAGGCTGAAACTGTTATTAAATCCTCTTCTGAAGATTTAAACACCAGGCGTTTTTTTTTTTCCTTCCTAATCTTCCTGGATGTATTTGGGTCGACATATTTATTGCTTTAAAGGTTTAAAATTTATAACATAATTTTCATATTTTATATAATATAATTTTTAAATGTAGCTAATGCTATATTGCATAGGAAAAGAACCAAAAATTATGGATCTGTTGCCCAAAAACTTTGGTGGGGGAAATAAAAAACAGTGGGCCTCTCTTAACACTGAACGATTTTCATTTACAGAATCATTTTGGTTCAGAGTGCTGAGGAAGATAAAGTCTTAAAAGTAGGCCAGTTGCTTGCTTATTCAAAAATCAGAGCCTCCACAATATGTTTTTTCTAGTATACCTTAGCTCTGACCCCCTCTCCCCCAAATCCCTGTAGGATGGGAAAAGGCTCTTTCCTTTAAAGACAGTGGGGTCCATGGAAGTCATGGTTAGGACTGAAAATGTACTCATGGAGCCTCAACAGGGCTGAAATCCACCTGAACAGGGAAGGGAAGGGGGCAACAATAATAATTCTTTTTCTTTCTCATCTCACCCCCAGTTTTTAGTTTTTGGTTTAATTCCTTTACCTTTCTCCCTTTTTTGAACTTTAACATTGATGGTGGGGGGAACATTTTATTTGTTGATGGCCACTCCATTTTTAGATTTGACCGGAGGAAGCAGAAGTCTACTTCTGGGTGAGAAACATGAATAGGTATTTGTCTAAGGAACCAGTCCTCATACACAGTATATTGGAGATTACTGTGTACAGGTAGAATGGGAAAAGGAGGAGGAAAGATGGGCGGTGGGAAGCCCATAAATGATGTGATTCTTTATCAGTTGCTCTTGAGGGATCTAAGTCACCAGACTGATCTTGGAGGATGTGGTGGCAAATGAACCCAGTCCAGAATATCTTCTTCAGAAAATCTTTGTCATGCTGAAATTTAGTGCATAATCAAATGCAACAAGGTTGCTTTCTGTTTTTGTTTTTCTCCTTTTGAGTCAAAGTCTCACTCTGTCACCCAGGCTGGAGTGCAGTGGCATGCTCATGGCTACTGCAGCATTGACCTACTAGTCTCAGGTGATTCTTCCACCTCAGTCTTCCAAGTAGCCAGAACTACAGGCACTTGCCACCATGCCCGGCTATATATATGTAATATATGATATATAATATATATATATTAAACAAAGTTGCTTTTTAAGGAGTGTTGTTGGAACCTTTTCTTTCTCAGACCCAGTAATTAAATTTAGTTCAACTAAACTTAATTCAGGATGTCTCATATTCTAGAAGTCCTCAACTGAAGAAGATATGAGTCCTCACTTTTAAGAAACTCTCTGTAGTGGCTCTCAAAGCTACTAAATAGAATAGAGATTTTCAATTTAATATGATAAATTTACTGAGAGATTATATCTACAGTGTACTTTGGAAGTAAGGAAGAGGGGAAACAACTCAGGGTGGAGGTGCAAGGAAAGTTTCTTAGAAGAGGCACCAATTGAAGACAGTTTTTAAAAGATTCATCAGAAATGAACTGTTTTTTCTTTGAGTCTTGGCTTTCTCTGACGCTTATAAAAAATAGGAAAAGATAGTCTGAGCCAATTTTTTTAGCCTTTTTTAAATGTAGTAGGTGGAGTCACTGTGTCTGAAAAATAAAAACTGTTTGAAGTAGATAAGGATATGAGAGAGAATTTTTTTTCCTTGAAGAAGATATAAAGAGTGGCGAAATAGAGACAGAGTCAATGAGGAGAATGACTAAGAATCTTCCGCGAAGCAGGCGTGAACTTCGCTAAGTAAGTAGATTGGAAAAGAACTTTGGGCAGAAGAAACGTTGCCCAGGCATACGCGCTTACTAGCACCACGGACAGCGCTACGCTAATAGTACGCCTGGGTGGTCCTAACCTGCTCCAGACTGAGCATTCTAAAATAAGATTCAAACTTGATCTTTCCAAGCCTTTTTCTCCCTTGAAATAAAAAGAAAACCCTGGAAGTTCAGTGGACTTCTTTGCAAAACAGACCTGCTCAATCTGGTTTCCAGAAACGATTGAATTTTATCTAATATTCTTTCTACAAAGAATATTAAATATTTTCTATATTTAAACAAAGAGAGGAGCAATCATACTGTCTGCCCTGTTCCAAGTTATTTGCAAGTTTTGTTTCATTTAATACTCATAAAACTTCTTTGTGGCATTCATCAGAATTCTGATGATTCTCAATTTTATGAACAAGACAAAAGAATCAGAGAGGTTGGGTAACTTGTATACTAGATAATCATTGTTGCAGGTGGAGATCTGTGTAGCTTCAGAGCCTCTATCCTTTACACTACATAGTGTATTTAGCAGCTGTCATGGTAGGCTTAACTTGGAAAAAAAAAAGCAATAATCTGGTTTATGATTATTTTCCAGGATACACCGTGTTTTCCAGATGGCTCACCTCACAGCACACCGTTAATAGACTTCAAAGATGACACTTCACACATTATACAATAGATCATTTGTCATGGACGATAGAGTGTGATAATGAGACATTTTACCTCTCTCTGAAACCCAGGATGACACAACCTGTTGTTAATGCTTTAAATACATTTAAGAGATGAAGTGAATGGGAACATAGTGGGCAGCTGAAGCTGGAAATTCTTACAGGCATGTCTTTTAATAGGGCCTAGAATTTACAAGTGACAATACAGAGAAAATAAATGGTAAATTGTCATAGTATTTTGAATTTCAATGGAAGGAAATGGGTAGCATTAGTTCCAAAATTGTACATGATTCAGATCACTAGTCATAATGTTTATATTCTACTTGGTAAAACTGTGTATGATCTTACTATGAAAGTGCAAATAGAATTAGTTGACTGGCCAAGAGAAGTACTGACATGACCCTGTTCTCTTTTATGTGCTTTTTTCATGTGGTTGGGTCTAAGGTAGTGTTTTAAGTAGGAAGGGAAGGAAATCCAGATTCGTTTTGAGGGCTTTTATTTTCCAAGTTACAAAATATAACCCACCTTTGTACCAGGAGGTTTGATTTTCTCCATTTCATCAGTGGCAAATTATTGCTCCAGAATCCAGAGTATATCCACTTCTATATGCCCACATGTGTTTTTCAAGTTTAATTAAATGGTAAGCATATCCATTTTAACATGTATGTTAGTTTGCTTGGGCTGCCATAACAAAATACTACAGATTGAGTGGATTAAACAGAATATTATTTTTCAGTTTGGTTTCTCCTGAGGCCTCTTGGCTTGCAGATGACCATTCTTCTTCTGCCTCTTCACACAGTCATCCCTCTGTGCACACATGCTCCTGGTGTGTCTTTTGTGTGTCCAAATTTTCTTTTTATGAGTACACCAGTCATATTGGGTTAGAGCCCACCCCAATGACTGCAGTTTAATCACCTCTTTAAAGGGTCTACTTCCAAATATAGTCACAGTCTGAGATACTGGGGTTAGGGCTTTAATATACAGGTTTTGAAGCGACATGATTAAGACCATCATTGCATCTTTTCCAATTTTTACACATTTCACTTTACTTTTTAAAACTGTCATTAATAACTTATTTATTTGAATAAAAATGAAAATAAGGTTAACATATTGAACTTACTACCAGTCCCTTGTGTCTCTTAATCTACAGTTTCTTCCTTTGTCTTTTTTTTTCTTTCAATGTATTTGTTTTGGTAATTGGGTTGTTCTGTAGTTTTTTAATGTCTGGATTTTGATGAATGCTTCTTCATGATGGCATTTAATATTTCCTCTGTCACTTATATTTCTTATAATTTAT